ACACCAGACCCAAACAAACAAAAAAAGGCTCACACTCACAGTAATAATTACATGCACAAGGAGGAGAAGACACATGCTTCACACTGAGTGAGCACATGCTTTGCTGGCCTCCTGGGAGCCCTACAGACRATGTTTTGCCAGCTCAGTGCACTCGCTGTGGCTGTGAGTGCTCAGTGCTTTTTCTCAGCTGCTGCAGCCACCAGGAAGCCACGAGAGATTCACAAAATGAGGCCACTCCAGGCAGAGGAGATCTGACTGAATTCAGAAGCCAAACCATCTCCTGAATTATGAGACTGTGCAGCTGGCTTTTCCTGGTTCCTGCTCCTGTATCCATCAGAGTGTCCAAACCTCACTGAGGAACATTTCCACAACACTCGGATAAYAATTCTGAATTTGTAACTCTCACACTCAACACACAGGGACTAAAATTGGTACAGTTCAGCAGGACAAGCCTACTACCCAGCTCACCACCACCTGAAAGGATACTAATTGAAAGAATTTTGTCCATCAAATCCAAGAGTTCAGACTGTCTGACCTCCTGAAGAGACAGAACAAATAGCTGGCTGGCAAAAGCACTTGAACAGTCCCAGTGGTGCTGTAGGGGAAGAAAGAAGTTCCAGGGACATGCTCCAGATGTTTTCTGGCAGTGAAAATATTCTCACAGGCTTCTAGATTGATTTGGACAGGGATCCAAATGCATATAAAATGCATGTGAAGCAAAGGACAGTTTTACAAAAGCAAAACTTCCTATCAATACTGGTCAGTCTGCATATGTTGGCAACCTTGTAAGTGGGTTTTCTTTTTATCTTCTCAAGATTTTCAGGGTTAAATCTCCTCTGAAAGGGGCAGTTCCTTAGCTTTGAGCAGCCCTTATTGCCACACTATAGCCAGTTAATAACAAGGTGCTTGGCAACATCACCTTCTTTCAGTTTGGTGAAAAATCCTACATCCCTGCTGTAAAATCTTCAGAATGCCACGTGTCTTAAAAATTACACAGAAATGGTAATTTTTGTGTTTGTAAATGCATTGTAACTACATTCTCACCTGCCTTAATGGAGTTACAAACTTAACAGCCCACGTTAATTGTGGCTGCCAAGAATATCAYGTATGAGAAGAAGGCTGGACATTTAGATCATCTTTCTGAATTACTGGGTTTTAACCACAGCTGGCAGCTGTGTACCAGAGAAATGGCTGAAACCTGACTCTGGTGCCCTTAATTGGGGCCCCCTAAATAAAGAGGTGCCATTGGCAGCTGCAGAGGTAGCACAACTTCTCTTACCCCACTTCCATGCAGTGATGCTCTGTTGTTCCCAGGAGCCCAGGGAGGGAYTTGGATTCACCATGTCCTAAGTTTATTGAATTGCCACAGGACCTAAGAGATGTTTGCTTTCTGGATTTCCTCCTAATGTGTGTTAATCTCACCTGAGCTGGGGCAAATTAACGGGTTGTAATCAGTTCTGTGGTGGGTTCTTGCAGCCATCAAACCTTGATAAAACAAATGAAATCATATTAAGTCATTGCAATCGAAGAGTAAGGATTTTAATAAGCAACAATAAAATGTGCCTGATTACATTTTTTTGACTGTTACATTTAACACAGAGACATGTTAGTATGGAGAAATGATACATTTCTGTTTAGATAGAACAATGTAATTTTCATAGACCCTGATMATATGAAAAGACTCATTTGATAAAAGCTCTTTAGTCCTCGATACCCATTAACYAGCCCACTACAAGACAACTGCAGCAGTGCAGCTCACTTGCAAATATTTTTTCTCTGTGTTATTGAGAAACCTTCTTTCCAATACTTTTTGAAAGTGTTCTGCAATATAGTTCATTGCTTCTATGAAAATCCATCCTTCAAACATCTGCCTGCATTTTCCAAGAACTTCCTTTTTGCTCTTTAGCATTAGCTGGAGAGGAATGTGTTCGACCAGTCAGTCCCAAGAGGCACAAAGGCCAAAGTGAGGTGCTTGGGTTTGTTAAGGTTAAAGAAAAACAGTTGTATCTGCTGGCTTTAGTGTTTGCAAGGAGACGAGAGAAGCTTTTGTTCTGCCTAAACCCCACCAGAGATTGAGCCCTTTTCTGGGTTTGGTCCAAAAGATTGGTCTGATGCCATCTGGGAAAGCTGGACCAGAGTCACCTCTCATAAATCCCAAGTCCTATCATGAATCAGCATGTTATCCCTCCCTTTTGTCATCGATATAGCAGCCTCACTGGGACAGAAATCAGGTTCMTGCTCTCATTATGCCTTTGCCAGCACCGTTTTGTATGAGGGATCTACACACGGATTTGTTATTGCTCAAAATACATTTGTTCTGTTATGGAAGGCAGGGCTGTTACAGGAGAGCTGCAAATGAGARCCAGCAGAGGCTGAAGAACCTGGATTTGCATGTGCTGGTAGCTCACAACCTGCTTTTCTGACATCCTTGTACTTCATTATCACAGTCATTAATCCCTTTGTTACTGCAGAACAAAGGAAGATAAACACGTTGCCATGGCAACAATTAAACATCTCAATAATTAACAGACCAATTAGCTGTCTTGGTGAAATGCTGTGACTCAGAACAGACACCAGGCACTCTGTAATTAGGGCTTTGGCTCACTGGAGCAAAAGGGCTGCTGATTCCCTGAGGGAGCAGCCATACAGATGCATTCTTTTACTGTGTAACATCTCACAACAATTCACTAGAGGATCTGAAGGGCATAAAGTCTGAGAATTTAAAAGAAAACTGGTACCTTAGAAATCACAGATTTGGGATCTTACATATTGCTTTTGTATACATTAACCCAGATTGTCAAAAATGCAAGAGAAGTTGCATATAATTTGTTGTGTACCTGTTTTCACTCAAACTGATGTAAAATCAGCTGAATTGTTTCCCCTACCCGGACAGTTTTGGCCAATGCTTCTGTRCAGCAGGGTTTGAACAGGACACCCCCATGGCACAGGGGTGGAACTGGGTGATCTTTAAGGTTTTTTCTGCCTCAAACTATTCTGTGATTCTGTGATTATCTGGGCTATGGCTGCAGCTCTGAGGAGCTCTCAGGAAGGCTCAGGTTTCCTCAGCACTGACAGAAGCAGCAGAAACACAGCTCCTCCTGAACCTSACCATGAGCCAAAGATACCAGAGAGATGGTGCCTAAATTGCTGTCTGCCCAGACATTTATTGGGTGGAACTCAACTCCTTCCCTGTGTTTGGCACAGCTGTGAGGTTGGAATTCTCAGAGGGCAAAGGCACAAGAACAGCTGTGAAACTCCCTGAGGMCAATATTCTGCTTTTCAGACCAGTCAGGGCCTTTTCACTCCTTGCTCCATTCCAATGTGGGCGTTATACACTATGGATTCTGGGAGTCTGAGCATTTAAGAGAAAAGAAAATGTTTCCACTTCTCTGTCTGTAAAAAAAGAAAGGCAAAATGCAATACAGGATTATGGTTCATCTAAATTTGAGATCAAAACACCTGGATTTTTTGGAGCTACTTCAAGTCTAGACTATGAAACAATCCCTCCCCTGTCCTTGTGTTAAGCCTGGACTGCTCCCTGCACCCAGCAGGACTGAAACAGCTGAAAGGGGAAACATTCTTCTTTATTATTTAATTGCTGCAGATCACCCTGTCCTATCTCTGCTCGACTGAGCTGCAGCGATTTTGCGCTTTGTGCCTTCTGCAACCTCTTCACTTAGGGCAAAAATACAAATAATATCGTGAAATGAGTCCTGGTCGCTTTCAAATAGACCATTTGTATTTCTGATTTAAAGAAAGAAGCACGCAGGTGTGTCACCTCTTGTTTTCAGAACACAACACCGCAGGGACACCGAGCGATAAGGCGAGGCTACGTGTGGCATTAATAAGCAATTGATTGTCAAAAGCAGAGGAAATTCTGACAATGGGATTGTTCTTTAATGGCAATTAAGTGTGCTCACAGGAGGAGGTGGCAAGTTTCTGCCGTGCAGATTGTTGGGGCACTGAAGTACCAAGGAAATGCAAAAATGCCTGAAAAATAAACTGGGTGGTGTAGTCATTATGGSCTCTGCTGCTGATAAATCCTTTTTGACCAGTGTTTTTTAACTGCTGTAAGGCTGTATGGCACGCCAGGGGTTTGATTTCACTCTTAACAGGAACAGCACAAATTTCCATTTGGGTTTGCGAGCCCAGAAATACAAAATGTTTGCGCAGCATTGTATTGAGAATTACAAAGAAATCTGACACGTTGTTTCCTGCTAGGAATCAGCTTTCTAATGTACCACACAGCAGACCGTGAGAACAAAAGGAAAATAACCTATGGCAGCAAAATGTTGACCAAAACTCTGAAATGTATTGCAGGCAGAACAAAATGTTCCCAAAACTTATGGAGCACGCTGCCTGTGCCTCGGTGTGGCAGATAAAATGTTATAGGATGGCAAAGCTGCCTAAAAATCTGTGCTAAAAACCTCCAGGCACAGCTCTGCAGCTCCATTTCAGGCTCCTTTCATAGTGGGAAGGTTGGTAAATATTTAATTGGAAATCCACTATAGAATGCCTCAGAAAACCAGGGAGTACTGATGRCAATCCTGCAAGTGGTTGRTTTTWTTTTTTTTTTYCCTGTCTGACTGTACTTTACTCAGGCCCCAGCACAGTGGGACCATGAGATGCTGGAGCTGTCAACTTGCTCTGTGAAAGAACATGAATTCAGTTTCAGCTGCACAGTCTGAAAGCAAAGTTATAAATATATTAATTCCAGGTCGCTCGGTGTCTCGTGGGCCGAGAAATTAATTCTGAATGGTCGTTTTCTCTCAAGGATACTTTAACACTTGCAAATCACTGAAGATGGGTGTGGAGGAGATTATGTTTTAWTTGTTTTAAAGAGCGGAGCCCTTACTAATTTGATCTTCTTAGGTTTTTTATGGAGTGATGGTGGTTCCCCAGAGATAACCATGGCCTGTTTGGTGTSTCTGTGTGTCCGTGTGTGTGTCTGTGCAGGCACAATTCYTTCAGGAGGCACCTGCCCAGGCAGATGCAAGTGTCCAGCGTKGATTTCAACATGGGGATGGACCCGGTTTTGCAGAGGGGAGAGACAACGACCAGCATTGGCAGAATMAAACCAGAGCTCTACAAGCAGAAATCTGTGGATTCTGATGGGCAGCAAGAAGACGTGAAAACMTGTGGGAAACTGAACTTCACGCTCCGGTATGATTATGAGAATGAACTCCTGGCTGTCACAATTGTCAAAGCCTTAGATCTGCCTGCTAAAGACTTCACRGGAACATCCGACCCCTACGTTAAGATTTATCTGCTGCCAGATAGGAAAAAGAAGTTTCAGACACGAGTTCACAGGAAGACATTAAATCCTGTCTTTGATGAAACCTTTCAGTTTCCTGTGGCCTATGATCAACTCAGCAACAGGAAACTGCATTTCAGTGTTTATGATTTTGACAGATTTTCTAGGCATGACATGATTGGGGAAGTTATTCTTGATAACTTTTTTGAAGTCTCAGATCTCTCCAGGGAAGCCAATGTATGGAAAGACATCCACTGTGCCACCACAGTAAGTAATGTGTTCCAAAAGCATTAACATGATATTGTCATTTCTCTTTTGTAGTTTTTGGCAGTGTACCCTGTTTA